TCTTAATTTGTTCAGTTTGAAGGCTAATTTTTCTGGGCATAGAGTTCTTGGTTGACAGTTTGTTGTGTTTTTTCCCCCTTTTTAGAGTTCCAAATATGCTATCTCGATATCTTCTGGCCTCTGTGGTTTAAGAAAATCAGCGTTAATCTTATCAAGGATTTTGGCACTGTATGAGTCTTTTTATTTTGTTAGGAGTCTGTCTTTCTAAAGTTATGGTGTTTCTAGCTCTGGATCTCTTTGAGTTTATCCTCCTTAGAGAGTATGCTGAGCTTATACGTGTAGTGTAGATTCAAATCTTTATTCACATTGAGCAAGTTCTCAAATATTTAAAAAATACTGTTTTCTGCCCTTTCTCTTCTGTTCTTAGAGTCCCATCATGAAGGTGTTGGGATTCTGGGCCATATTCCATTGGTCTTGTGGCTTTGTTCATTTTTTTTTTTTTTTTTTTTTTTTTTTTTTTTTGGTCATTCCTTATTTCTGTTCTTCAGACTGGATGAATTTAGCCGACTTACCTTCAAGTTCACTGATTCTTTCTTCTGGCTGTCCATCTGCTGTCGAGACCCTAGGGCAAAATTTTTATTTTAATTGTCGTGCTCTTTTTCAATCCCATAATTTCTATTTTTTTAAATTCTTATCCTTACTGATATTCTTTATTTGACAAGACACAATACTCATGTTTTCCTTTAGTCTTCTAACACATTTGAAGTGCTGATTTAAAGTTTTGTTTAGTAAGGCCATTCCCACTTCCTTGGGACCAGTTTCAACTGTTGGCTTTTGCTCCCGTGTATAGAAATATTTTTTTGTGCTGTTGAAAACTAGACTTTTCTCCTTTTTTAACATTTTTTTAAAATGTGTGTGCACACAGATATTCATGTGCCAAAGTGCTAATATGGAGGTCAGAGGATAACATCTATAAGTTGGTTCTCTTGTCCCACCATGAGGGTGTCCCAAGAATGGAATTAAGATTCTTAGGCCTGGAAGCAAGTACCAACTCACCAGCCTCCAAACTAGACACCCAATATAATGGAGGAAACCAAGGTTTGTTGTTATTGCTGCTGTATAAAATACTCTAATCATAGCACAGGACTTGCGCTAACAGCCTTCAAGCCCAAAGTTCTTCAGAGAAAACTTCCTGTGTCTTGTGTGGAACTCATCTTAGGAAAGCCAATGGTTTGAGACCCCAGTACATTTTGATAATGAGATAATGATGCCTTTTAAGGGTCTCCAAATATCAAAACCTTCTCTGGAGACCTGGTTGGGAAGACTGAAACAAATTTCTAGCATCTTAATATGAGAAGGTAATGAATGATCAGATAAAACAAGAATTATGGCAAAACTTGCTGCAAGCTGAAGTGATCAGTGCTCAGCTGTTGCCTGGGACAATAATTAGCTAGGAGCATGAGAGGTGCCTGTGGTAGATAAGGAGAAAATATATGGTTCACAAAAGCTCCAGAAGAAGCCAGGAAGAGGGACTGATGGTCAAGAGAGATCTCTCTCAGGAAGTAGCACACCATCTAGAAGGCTCCTATTCCTTTCCTGGCAAATTTAGGGTTGGCAGTAAGGGGAAGAGAGCAAGGGTGTGTCATAGGTTTCCCCTGCTATTTCCAGAATGTACAATTCATCTCAGAGGAACATAAAGACAATACTAAGGCCCTGGGGACCCTCCAACCCTACCAAAGGGTTCCATGCTATTCATTTGTGCAAGAAGCACCGTGAAATGGCTACTTCCATGCAATGTTCTGACAAGAGTGTTGGCTTTGTCACTTAACCACTGTGGTGAGTTGGCTAAGTTATTAAGATTCTCTGAGCTTTAGTTTCTATATTTATCAAAGAGGATGTTAGCATTTGGCTTGCAGGACTGTAGTAGGGGATGGGATTGTGTTTTTAGAGTGCATCACACATACCTGGCAATTGGTAAGTACTTTTCTGGTTCATCTTGTTGGCAGCCTTAGAAAAGGAGGAAGAATAAACCCCTTCCTCACTGCATGTAACCTTTCTCTACAGATTTCTCCATCTTCATCTTCCTGAGAGCTTGGCTTAGGGTCCTTATTATAAGTTGTCATAGCACCTCTATCTTCCTACCTCCATTTATATTTAATGACTAGAGACTTAGCTGTATGACTTCTTGATTAATCCCCGTCTCTTGGAATGACTCTTAAAAAACACATGCCTTTTAAAAACTCTTCTTATATATACTTAAAATTTTAAATTACATCTCCTCTCTCTCCCTTTCTCTCCCTCTCTCTCTCTCTCTCTCTCTGTGTGTGTGTGTGTGTGTGTGTGTGTGTGTGTGTGTGTGTGTGTGTAAGAGAGAGAACACATGTGTAGGTTCAAGGATGACGTACAGGAGTTGGTTCCCAGGAATCCAATGCAGACTGTCATGTTTGGCAGAAAGTGGCTTTTCCCACTGAACTATCTCACTAACCACCATCTTAGCTTTCTTTATATTTCCATTTTTTCCCTTAAAAGGAGTAAGTTGTGTATAGCTGGATTAAGTGCTTTGCAGGCTAGAAAAACTGATAGAAGCAACTTGTTCATCACTATCCACTTCATCTCACCTTCCCCTTCCCTCTTCTTGCTATTTCCAGCAAGGATGCTTGAGGATGCTCTTTTCTGCAGCATCAGGTTTTCCTTTAGCTTGGTCTGTAGCATTATTCTCTGTGCTTTTTAGTTCATCCCAGCAGCCATCTGTTCAGAAGGTTGCTTGTCACCTGAGGCAGAGTTCTTCCACATTTCTCCATCTCTTTGCAGCATCATCGCCAATAGATGGGCTGGGATGTCCTTTTATTTCAGAGTTGGACTCAGAATAGAAAAAGAAGGCTGGAGGAGGAGGCTTCTTAAATATATTTGGATCCTTAAACTTTTTCTTCGTTCAGTCTGGAGTCCAAATCCAGGGCCTTGTGCATGCAAGGCAGGTACTTTACCACTGACCTACAACCTTAGCCTGCCCATGTACGAGGGATATAGGTCCCCAATCTCTTCCCTCCCTTCCTCCCTCCGTTCTTCTTTTCTCCTTCTCCTTCCTTTCTCCTTCCCATCCTCCCTTTCTCCCTCCTCCTCTTTCTTTCCTTTTGCTCTTCAACGTTTTGAACTCACTAATGTAGCATAGGCTGGTGTTGAACTTGTGATCCTCCTGGCTCAGGTTTCCCAGTGCCAGGATTACAAATATGTATCACCATGCCAAGAGACAAGTTTTCATGTCTCTTTCCCAATGACCATTGCTATGTCTTCAGATTTTACCTCTCTTTAGAGGACATGGCTTGCCCTTTGGTGACAAAAGCATGGGGTGTTTCTTCTTGCACTCCCTTTGGCAACTTTGCATTATGACATTTTGTCCTTGCTTTATAGGGTCCTTTGTATTTGTTGCTGCTTCCTTGAGAAGGCACAGGGCCCACTCTTCACTTGCAGCGCAGTCTCCAGGAAACTCAGTGTACTGCAGCGGCTGTCCTCTATAACCTCTTCTGACTTCCAGCTACCTACCGGTCATGAAACTGAGAGTCTGGGCTCTAGACAGAGCCATGGGGGTCAGCCTGTAGGATTCTCTGTGGTCTGTGGCATCTGAGTGGGGAGAGCCAGCCATTCTATGTTCAGTCGCTGGCATGAACTACTCTGCTCCCTCAGCAGTTCCAGCATCCAGGACAGCAGAGTCTGGTCATCCCCTACCCCCAAGAAAGTGAAAAGGAAAAACCAAGGAACAAATGTGCTGTACAGGCACAGGGGCCTGCCCTCTGGACATAGGGACTTTCCTCCAGAGCTGCATAGTCACTGCCCACCACCACTGACTCCAGAACCTGTGTAAGGGGTAATGGGACCCCACGGGTGTCCCCTTTACTCCCTTACTAAGGCTCACAGTCTACCAGAAGTTAACCTCAGGTTTCTTCCTAGTTGCTTCTGATTCACTTTCCTGTGTCTGGCCGGATAGAGGTTTAGAGGTTTGGCTGGGCCCTGCTACAGGAACTTTTTAAGCCAGAGTTCCAGAGTTCCTGACCCTGCCTGTGACACAGCAATAGCCACAATGAAGGACATCCTACCCTCTAGCGTTCTACTTGGTCCCACCCTTTAGTCATAAATCTTTACTTACACAATATAAGACTACTCATCTCCATTGGTAGAGCCCCAGATCTGCAACCTAGCTGGGTGAACAGCCCAGCCCTGACGCCCCAGCATGTGGCCAGAGGGTCACACTTAAATCAGAGGTGTCTTAACAATTCTGGCACCTGCTACCTGAGCCTCACCCTAAGATTCTGGTTGTGTTGGTATAGGGCAGGGTTTGGGTATCAGGATTTTGAAAACAACCCAGATGAGTCTGTATTGAGGCAGGGTTGGACACCTCTCACCTGAAACTTTGTCCATTGCCCTGCCAGTGACAGGAAGACCCCTGCTGTTTCAGTTTTGTCAAGTGGGTGGGTATTTGTGCCCACTAGGAATTTCCCTTGCTCTGGTCTACTCTGACAGACCTCTCTCCACGGAAGTCCACATCTTTGGGTTTCCCTCCATTCCTAGGAGGAACAGGTCTAAGACTTTGCACATAAACTGTAGGTTCCTTCCCTGCTAGGCTTGTCCGTTTTCCAGCCTAGCACAGCATCTGTATACCTCAGCACCCCAGAGGACCTGCCAATTCTTTCTCCCTTGGACAGCAGGGATCAGTGGCCCAGGAGATTCCTCTTTGCAGAATCCTAGGGCCCTTGGACAGAGCCCAACCAGTCATTTTCCCAGGCTGGGCTGGGCTTGAGGTGTGGGGGTGGGCACTGGGGGTAGTGGCCAGGCCTGAGGTTTGGCTCCTTGCTGCCCTTTTCCCATTAAACAGATATGCAGATGAATGCCTTTGGACACCAATAATACAGGAGGTTTTAGTAACAAGACTGAAATCCAGAGAAAACCTTCTCTATGCACCTTGGAAAAAATCTCAGAGTGGAGGTTCACCCAGCAGCTGCTACCCTCCCCGGCTACTGTTGCCACCCACACCCCAAAGCAACTTTTCCCATGACTCACACATGGCAGCTTGTGCACTTCTTTTATTATTAAATATAAAAGCAGCTTCCTATTTTTTAAATAGATATTTAAATGACCTTATATAAAATAATTCACTTCCAAGTATAAAAAAATGCAGTCTCACAGTTTGTGAGTCAATGTTCCCTCCAGGCTTTCTCAGAAGAGAGAAGGGATCCTATACAGTGGAGGTTCCAAAGGTGGATTTGGGGTTTCTCTTGCTCTGATGTAACCAGGCGCCCACAAAGAGCTTCTTGCATTGGGTTGGATTTACTCTTCTGTTTTTAATCATATATGTTTAAGGTGGAGGTGTAGGAGAATGCCTTTTTTTTTGTTTGTTTGTTTTTGGTGTTTTTCCTTCTATTTTAAAATATGTATTTTCTAGCATGAAAATAGTCTGTAACTAGAAGGCTAAGTAAGCCCCACAAGAAAATCTTCAGTGTCCTTCCTCTGCGGTCTCAGGATGGGGTGGTGGGGCCTACAGACCACCCTCCCCTCTTGCCTAAAAGATTACGGACCCAGTAGTGGGGGGGCAGGAAATGGGGGCACAGCAGCATCAAGAGACCAAGGGGCAGGTGAAAGCCCTGTCACCCATGCCCAGGTCTCAGAGCCACAGACAAGGCCTGGCCCGGGGAACAGAGGGAAACAGAATAGAGTTAGAAGTAGACAACCCATTTCTTGATCCCTCTCTAGACCTGCCTAGCTTGGCTAGAGATGGCAGGGTGGGGTAGGTGAGACAGGGAGAGTGTCACTGCCTACCTGGGTCAGGTCTGGAGAAAAAAGGCCAGAAGAGGGTGGGGCTGGAGCCTGTAGCTCAGTCCCAGGAGCTCATGACTGGGTGCTCAGCTCCAGGCTGGAGGCAACAGGGGAAGGAGGCTGGCTGACAGGTTAGAGTATAGACATCAACTTCAACCTTAGGGGGCACACACATTTTCAAGACCCATTTTCATTTACAGCTCTGCCTGTGGCCTTTCAGCCTCTGTCTCCCTTTCCTTTCTCCCTTCCACTAGTCACTTCCCTCCTGGGAATGTCAAAGTGCAAGATGCAGAAACCTGGGCAAGGAACACAGCCTAGAGACCAGCCCTGGGCAATCAAAGGCCAACACAGGGGAAGGTAGGGGCTTAGGGACTCCCTCAGTTGACAGTCGAGGCCAGCTCAGTTCAGGAAGCTGAGGAGAGGCTGAAGGGGGTGGAAGAACATTCGGACGGATGGTCGCTTATGGGGATGGATGGGGCAGGCTGTTCAGCAGGCAGGTTCAGTATTCACAGTGCAATGGCTTCCTTCATGAGGGGTGCCTCTGCTGGGCAAAAAAAAAAAAAAAAAACTCTGGCAGGGGCTGCGGACAGGAGGAATCGAGGCTAGAGCTTGATCTTCCTCTTGGCATCATGAGCCAGGTCAGACAGGTCCTGAGGCTGGGCTGGTCTCCCTTCTTTCCTGGCTATCAGCTGAGGACACTTGGGCAAGTTGAGGGTGTAGACCCCTTTAAGCTGTCAGCACAAGCAGCCAAAGGCCTCCTCTTCCCGTCTTTTGGGCTGCCTGCCTTTATCCCTTTACGGGAAATCGAGCAGATGCTGTCCCGCCCTTTGAATCTCAGGCTTTCCTCTTGGGAAACAGGTCCCTGCCTGTCCATGTTGGATTCCTTGGCACCAGTTGGGTCTTCTGGGCACAGGCTCTTCTGCTCCTTCTTGTACACCCTGGTCTCCCATGGGCCATACCGGCAGGTGGGTCCCTTGCCAGGTTCTGGCTATGGGAGGAGGGTACAGCTCCTGAGAGAAAGGGTCCTGAGCTAGCTCGCTGGCCTTCCTCGAGTGCAGGGAGCCTCCAGGGCCCACAATAAATAGCAACAGTGTGGGGGCATCCTCCAGCCCTCTCTCAGTTAATCGAGAGTCTAAGGGCAAAGATGGAAAGACCCCATCGAGGCTGCTCTCATCCAGTCTTGGGAGGCAGGAGCTCTGGTAGTGGCAGGCCACGTCCCCAGGAAGATGGCAGGAGAGGGTGGTGGTGAACATTCCCATAGTGTCTCCATCCATAAAGAGATAGTCCTGTGTGCCCAGCTGTAGGGAAGAGACAGGAAGAAGGCTGGTCAGCAAATGGGAGTGTGGGGGAGGGTCGCTGAGGACATGGTTGGGGGAGGTGTGGCATTCCTGTGGGCTGTTGGCTGGCTCTAGGCAAGACTTCCTCTGGTGCTATCTCTGGCCTTCTAGGCCACCCCAGACACCACTGAGAAACCAGGCAGCTTTGCCTGGCAGCATCCCAAACCTCTGGCCAAACTGCCCTCACCTCCTACCTCTCCTCCTGGGGGACCAGTAACAGTAACCACAGAATGTGAGAATGGGACTGGAGGAAGTCTAGACCAAGAGGTAAAGGGGTTATTGCTCAAGCAGATGGGAGCAGGGGACAAGCTCTTGAATGTTCCTGCTAGGCCCCTCTTCAGATAAAGCCATCTCACTAGTCTTAGACCAGTGAAGTAAGGGTGGTTTCTGCCAACTCTAGCAAAGAATTTTTCATATCCATATCCACACCATTCCTCGGAGGGGGTCTGCACAGAAGATATTTGGGCAAAGGCAAATGAATAGAAAGAACTTGGGCTTGAGGGACATAGGTTAGAGGCAGGGCTAGGAAAAGGGAGGGCTCACCCTGTGAACAGGCATGCTCACCCCAAGTAGCCCAGCCTCCTCCCAGATGGGATGAGGGACTTGCCTCTTATCATCCATGGGAGTCAAGGCCCTGCCCTCTCCCTACCCCACCCCCATCTTTGTCCCCTTGCCCAGCATCCTCAGAACACTTTGTTCCACAGCAGAAATCCCCTGGACTCCACCCAACAGTTTGACTTTGGACCCTGTGTGGTGCCTCCCGCCTAATGTCCATATCCCCACTGGTCAAGCCTATGATGGGTAAAGAGGGAAGATGAGACCTACAGCCTCTGGCTCCCAGCCCATTCCCATGCTGGAAAGGAAACAAAGGGGAACTATAAACTGGACATGAGCCATGCTGGTACAGCCAGGCCACAGGCTCTGCCAGGGTCATTAGGGAAGAAGGCCTCAGAGAGCATACCCTAGCCTGTGTGACCCAGCTCCCAGCATCCTGGGGTCAAGAGCTTGAGTTTTCTGCATTCTGTGTCCCTCCCTCCCCCACTCAGTTCCCACTTTTCTGTGTCCCACTCATAGCCTCAGAGTACTGGTCTATCTGGACACAGGCACTCCGTTTCCATAGGCTCCTGGGGCCTGGCATGGAGACAAATTTAGATCTGAATCCACTGAGCAACATCTTGAAACCCCAAAGTGAGAAACTTGAATTCTTGGGCAGGTCTGGGAGTTAGGAGTCAGGAAAAGGACAACTGGAGTACAGACAGCTCAGGGCAGAAGGCAAGTCCATGCAGGTGGCAGGTAGAGGAAAACTGGTAGCTCTTGGTAAGGTGCCACAGCACTGAGCCCCAAAGTTCCCAGCGATCTTTACTCTCTAATTCAGTTCTGAGGGGCTCTGGATCCTTCTCATAGCCATTCCAATGAGCCAGCTAATTCATTTTGCCCATCTCCATCCACCATACTGCCAAGTGGGACTCTAGGATTCTAGATATAGGTTGTTGCTTGCTTTGATCCAAATAAATTCCCCTGGGTCTGAGCATCTGTCAGACTTCCTCTGTCTGGAGAAGGGGTCCAGACCCATCATCCTATACATGGGACAGTTTCTTACATGTGACAAGGGGTATAACTGGAAATTTGAATGGGTCACACAATTAGTTTGCCATCCAATCGACTAAGCATTCTGCCAGATCAGCTCACCGATCAAGAACTAGCGAGTTAACAGTTACCAGCTAGTTGGTCTACTAGTTAGTCAGCCCACCAACTGGCAAGATGAACTGACTAGCTAACTGGTTAATTAGTCAGCCAGAAGGCTGGTCAGTTAGAGAAATCCAACCAAGGTTAGTTGGTGATTCAGACCTGAAACCAGCTAGGCAGCATTTACTGAATTTGTGACAGGGATGGTACGGCCCTGTCTGTCCTAGAATGAAGGGTGGAAAATGAAGTGCAGAAAAAGTGAAAGATGGCCCCTGCCCTCTAGGGGCTTACAATCTTCTTAGTAGTGCAAAAAATGTACATATACACATGAAATATGCTCTTAAAATACATAAAACACTATCCAAACGTGTGCAATTAATATAGTATTAGCCATATACAAAAGAGCAGAAGGAGTATGAACAACTAGAGGCACATGGAGACCTCAGGAAGGAAAGCTTTCTGATAGGCTGGTGTGGGCTGGGTTCGGAGAAGAAGAATGTAGTCAAATCTGCATCAACATTTTGGGCAAGGACAGCAAATTACACTCATCAATATGCAGGGGACACAACCAAGAATAATGAAATGAACCAAATTAGGAGTTAAAACACTTTCAGTAGGTTCAGGGCATGACCAGAAAGCAACAACTAGTTTTAACAAAGGTAAACATAAACTACACTTTGGCCAAAAAGGTTAAGTTGTCCAAGTATGGAATGGTGAAGGTCAGTCTGCTGGACAGAAGCTCACGGGAAATAGAACTGGGGTTTTTAATAGTCCACAAGCTCAACATATGACAATATATGATGCAGCTGTTAAAACTAATGTGATCTTAATCTGCACGAGTAGAAGAGAACTGTCCAGATCAAGGAAGGCAAGTCCCACTGTACTCTGAGCTGGTCAGACAACATCTGGAGTACTGTGTCCAGGGCTGGGCGCCACATTTTCAGAGGGACATTGACAAACGAGTGTGTCCAGGATGGTGAGGGGTCTGAAAACCATATCATATAAGGAATGTTTGAGGGGCTTGGCCACATTAACACAGAATTCTTAAAGGGGACATGAGTGGCTGACTTTAAATATCAGAAGGTGAGAGGACTAGTCAGGAAAGGAGAGAAAGGAGGCCAGCTTTGCCTACACAGGAAGAAATTCCTGTATTGTGTGCAGGTTGGACAGACTAGCATGCAGGGAGTTTGCCTGGAACTCGGAATGTGTGACAGGAAGCTGGCTGACGGTTGGGATGTGGAATGGACCCTTTTAGACTGGGACATTGGGTCAAATGACCTCTTGACAGCTCTCCCAAGACTAAATCTCTAGGGCACCATGATTCTAAAACAGGGAGGCGGCAATAACCTTGGCTAGGGAGCAGGACCAGATGAGGCACAGCCTGGTAAGAAGTGGATGCTGAGAGGTTCAGGGCTCAGCATTAAGCTGGTGCTTGTGTTTGAAAGGGCTGGCGGCCATGCAGAAGCTAATGAAAATTCCCCAGGGTGGTAAAGACCTTGTAAAAGCCTCATTAGAGGAGAAGGAATGTGGTTGCTTTGGGATTGAATGTGTCAACAGCAAGAATAGAAACATAAAGCAGAGGTAGCAATAACTGGTGTGTGGGGGGAGGGGTGCAGGCGCAAGGGGAGACCTGAGGCCTGGAAGGGAGGGGCCTAGCTGGACCTGTTGATGAATGAATAAAAATGGGAGTCAAATGTGTGGGCCTCCAGGGAGTTGGCGGCTTCTGCAACAGGGGAGGTGACTGGAGATAGATGGTCCTTTTTACGGGCTGGAGAGATGTTCTTACCTTAGACTCCTTTCTATACTGGCAGTTCCACCTGTCTGTCCTCATCCTGGGTCAGGGGGCTGCAGGCAGAACACAGGGCTGACATAAGACTTGGCTAGGAGCATGGGACTGACGGTACTTTCTAGTTTATCCCAAACCCTGCACATGGGTTCCATCTCTGAGATTTAGAAGTCCCAGGACTGCTCAAGTCTGGGAAGAAATCAGGAGAAAGCCCAGCTGTTGCGGAAAGAAGGGAGGCCCTTTCTTCTTTGTACCCACCCTGCTCTGCCGCTCTAGTTCCTTAGGGGAAAGGGGGGAAACCCCTCTTCCAATCTAGAGGGGAAACAGGCCCCAAGGCAGACATCCAGTGCCTCCCACAGCCCCACTGCAACTTCTCACCTGCCCTCTGGCCGCCCCACAGAAGAATCCAATGTCTGAGGCTCTCGATGACTCTGGGGACAAGAAAGAGTTGTCTCGATGAGGTATCGGCATGCCCCCCAAGCATTACCGACAGAATCACAAGAATCCCTCTAGCTACCCCAAGCGTGCACAGCTGAGGGAGACTTGTGGGCCCTTTGGGGATGGGTGCTGCTTCTCTTGTCCCCTTCCATGCAGAACACCACCCATGTTCCCTCAAGCTCCCAGAATAGCATTCCCCTCCTCTTCCTTCCCTTTCCCACCTGGTTGTTCAAGAATTCCTTTTTCTACATCTTTTTGTTCTCATCCCTTCTCAATGATTTTGAGGCTGGAGACCTCTTGTTATTTGTCTGTCTATCACCTATCTATCTGTCTGTCTATCTATCTATCTATCTATCTATCTATCTATCTATCTATCTATGAGATAGGATCTCTCTATGTAGCTCTGCCTGGACTAGAAATTGCTATGTAGACCAGGATGGCCTTAAAGTCACAGGGGTGTGCCAGCCTCTGCCTCTGGAGTGCTGGGGTTAAAGGCACATGCCATCACCACACCTGGCACCTCCTGATTCTTGAAGCAACAGTCCATCACCACCTTCTAGCCTTTGGGTTGACATCCCCACCTCCCAGCAACTGTGGAGCCCATTGGAACCTAGTTGTCCCCCGACCTGCCCCATAGGATGTCCCCCTCTCCTGGGGGTCTTCTTACCCTCCGCTTCCACCTGTAGAACAGGAGGCCCCCAACAGCCAGCAAGACCAGGATGATGCCCAGCAGGTGAAAGTAAAACTCGGGGATCCTGGGGCCAGAGGACCCCCCACGTTGCTCATTATTGCCTGTGTCAGTCAAAGGGCGTTGATCATTATTGCCTGTGTCAGTCAAAGGAATGGAGTTAAAATGGGCCATAGCCCTAACTGCCCCCTCGCTTGCTGGTCCTCCTTCCAGCTCTGTGGGGCTCCTTCGATCCCTGGTATTTCTTTTGCCCTCAGACTCCCCAAGGGGCAGCACAATGCCCCAAGAGTGACTTCTCAGAAGCAGTGACTGAGCAAAGGGGGTGGCTAGGTTGCTGAGGCCTTGGGGACCCAGTGTCGAAATGTGGGGAGAGTCTGGCTCCTGGTGGTCTCCAGACAGCGTAGATGAACCATCTGTCTTCTCAGGAGTATGATTCTGTATCTGGTCAGTGGGTCTCATAGCGTTCACCTCTGGCAATGGGGTGCCTGTTTCTGCTGACTGTTGGTCTTCTGTTGATTTATGGAATGAAGAAGATGCTGAGAAGTCACTGGATCTGTCAGTCTCTACCTGGATGCTGTCCCCTGCAGGCTTGGAGGAGGACAGCTTTGCTTCCTGGGTTAAAAAACCCTCATTAGCCTCTCCAGAAGCTTCTTCTAGGACCCAGGTTGTGCCTGGTGAAGATTCAAGGATATCTTCCACATCAGGGATAGGGACCTCTGCAGAAGGAGAAGGCTCTGAACCCTCAGTGAGTCTGTCCTCATGGTTTGGGGTCTCTGGTGACTCGAGGCTCTGGCAGGTGCTTCTCGGTGGTCGCTGCTTGGCACTGCCTGGGTCTTCTGTGTGAAGGGGCTGCTCACTGGGCAAGAGGGAGTTGCCCTCTGTCCTCTGAGAATCATCCCAAGCCAAGCCAGCCAGAGGGGCCATGGAGGGGGCAGGGGGCTGGTGAGGGGAGGTAGAGGCCAGATCACTGCTAGGGGTGGCTTTAGGGTACAGGCAGTTGCAATCAGGCTTGGTCACCACATCTGAAAGAACCACAGAGAAGGGGAGAGAGAAAGATGGGGAGGAGATAAAGTCACCAGCCTCTAGCACAGCTCCCCCAGAGGGGTAAGAGGGGGAAGGGGCCTGGGGCATGGGAAGGGGGTACCCTCTTCTAACCCAGCCCTGGGGCTGGGGAGAGGACAGGACAGGACAGCAATAAATGATCATGACACAGAACTCAGGCAGGGGGGAGCGATATGCACAAGGAGGGAGCGGGGTATCATGGACAAGGAACAAAAGCAAGGTACAGACAAACAGAGGAGGGCTTGAGGAAGACCACAGCACAGTTTACTGGGGCTCTAGCTGACTAGATGTCAAGCCAGGGGTAAGCAGCAGCCAGGCCAGGAGACTGAGCAATAGCTCCTGGATTAACACAAGATATTTGGAAGCCCCCAAGGCACTGGTTTCATGCACAGTCAGAAGCTAAACCACCAGAGCCACAGCCACAGGCGGGAGAAGGCTGGTGCAGGGAAGCAGCCAAAGTTTGGGACTTTGGGATTGAAGCACTAAGGCTGGACGTGAGTACTGTCCCATTGTAGGGCCTCAGCCCCTGCTTTGGGGAGTGAGGCTCAATGTAGGATACATGTGGCACAGGACGCAGAGATGAGGACACGCAGAGTGCACAGGTAGGGAGAGTTTGAATGATGTTCAGACTTCAAATTCAGCCTTGTCCCTTGAGGGGACATCCAAGGCATCCGGGGACTTCTGGAGCCAGGGTATCATGGTGTTTTGCAGCAGGGCTCCTGGAGCAAGGACCCTGACTGCTCTCTCCACGGAATCCCCATTTATTCAGCCAGTCTGCAGAGCCAAGGGGGAAGCCACCATGCCTACATGGCTCTCTGAGAAAGGTCCCCTTTCCCTCTTGCTACCGTAACAGCCACCAGCATGAGCCTTCTTGATGCTGCCACATCAAGTAAGGCAGTGAAACAGTACATGCAGGCATAAGTCAGTGTACATGCACACACATGTCAGCAAAGACATGTGCCCAGGGCCCTGGAGTACATGAAGCCACATGAGTACATAAAACACACAGAAGCACACTTAGCAGTCAGGCTGCCTTTGGGATTTCCTGAGCCCTTTATCTCACCATACACACACACCCTCCCTGTAGCCTCTATGCTTACCTTGGCTGGAGCACTTAGCAAAGCTGTTGTTGCAATTCTTGCTAAAAGTATTCCAGTCCTTTTCAAGGAGGCGTTTGGTTTCATTAAAGAAATTCTTGATTTTCTCCAGCAGCTTGAGGGGAGTCTCATGGAAAGTTTGCACACAGGCCTGGAAGAAGAGCAGAGTCCCCTGTAGTGATCACCACCATGGGCCTCCTTTCATTCACCATTGCCTCTGTCCAGTTCTCCTGGGCTTTCTCCCTTTTGTCTCCTCCCTCTCACCTCCTCTGCTCTGCAGCAGTATCAGTCCTGATGTTGAGAGATACATCGTCTATTCACAGCTCCATCTAACACATGTTTAAGTGCCAAGTGTGTGGTAATTTACCTGGGCATCGTGCAACGAACAACAGAGAAGTGGTTCCTTAGTCCAGCAGACACTCTAGCACTGAGTGTCCTGAACCATCTGGAGGTGTATAACAGAAGAAAGCTAAATGAGGGCCCAGGGAGACGAGTACCAGAGGGACAGCTAAAAGATGAGCAAGGGAAGAAAAGGAGGTGAGGTTAGGGAGGACAGAAGGTGCAAGGGTCCTGAGGCAGGAAAGCAGGAAATGCCAAAAGACTGAAAGAAGGCTGTAGCAGCTTCAGTACTGCCGCCTAGGAGGGAGTTGGCAAGAGATATAGCTGCAGAGAGTTCTGCCAAGGCCAGGGACTTGTTGACCCTGCCAAAAACTTGTAATTTTATCCATGGAGCCAACAGGAAACTGAAAAACTGCTTGGGAGGTGGACTGTGGTATGAGGCTCGAATCTTGACATGGTATAGAGAACAGACCTAGGTAGGCCCAAAGAGACGAACACCTTGGCTGGTGTCATGTTTTGGAGGAAGTGCCAGGGATGCCTTGGTCTGCCTGCTGAGTGGTTTTCCTCCTCTGCAGTGGGCCCAAGTGCTCATACCCACTGCAGTTCTGAGAAGCCACACCCTCCTGGGTTTGTCCCACCTCACCAGCTGCCCCTTCAGGCTCTGTGCCAGACTGTCCCTTCTAAATACCGCAGTGCCGCAGGGCTCTGCTCTAGGCTCACCTTACCTTTGACAGCAAGCTGTGCTATGTGTGATTACAGTCTGTTTCTAGCATTGCCCTCAAAATTTATGAGCCATCCAGGGAAGAACAATAGGTTTTCCAAGGCTACTACAAAGTCCTTGATTACATCACTGTACCTCCCCAGCCTGCCCATAGCTGGCTTATAATAAACAGTTACTGGACATATGAATGAAAAGACCTGGGTTCAGCTTCATCACTCGGCAGCTAGAACTGCTTTCAAGCCAGGAACTGATGTCAAGAGAACAATACCCAAGCCTCTCCCAGGAGCTGTTAAGGCAGGACCGTTGGCTCTGTCGGACATGTGTCTTTTTAAAGCTCTTTACCTCAAACCTGACCTTATGTAAATAAAAGAAGCAGGCATCCTCACTTGGAACACTGACACCCAAGCTTTTTCAAAATGGAGGTGCCTGCCAGGTCAGGAGCTGGGAATCTTTTCTGAGCAGTGAGGCTGGATTTGGCTCCTTGAGTTTACACTCTACCTTCTTCTTCCTGAATCACCCCTCAGCATGAACTGGGTGAATAGTCACTGACCCAAAGGAGTTGGAGAACCTTCTATCACAACTGGTGGGGCACCTTCTCAAAAATGAAGATTCCCAGGCTGGTGGCTCCAGGGCAGTAGAGTCTCTAAGGGCATATGCTGGGACTCCACACTTTAAACAAGTTCTCCAGGTGATTCGCTAGCACTTTACTTTTAGGAAAGCATCCCCAACCAAACAGCCAGTCTATGGTTTTCTGTTCTCTTTTGGAGCAAGTTCTTTCACCATGTGGTCTCTGTTTCCTCCTTCTTTTCTCCCTGATCTGCCTCCAACAGTTGCCAAATCAAATGGACCAATGGACACTTTTCATCCCTCACTGGATTTGGCTTCTCAGCCCCATTTGATAAAGTGTTGCCTCCTTCCATCTGGAGACCCTGAGGCACTGGCCTCTCTGTTTGCCTCCTACTTCAGGCTACTCTTCAGTTAGGGTCCTGGACCTCCTCTCAGTTGTATAGCTCTGTGGCTTCACAAACAGCAACAACATCTCCAGCAGTCACAACCATGACCCCTCCTGCAGCTGTCAGATGTGCCCCACACTAAACTGGGCTACTCTGCCTGTGGTTGTCCTTATTTTGACCAGGGGCTCATCCTGACTCACTCTTACCCTTTCCATCTGCAGAAGAACCTGTCCTATCTGCCTGGGGGACCACATCCACTCATCTTTAATTTTCCTGCACCACGCTGATTCAAGCCACCACCATCACTAGCCTGGCTCAGCCTCCTGCTGGTCTCCTGATTTCCATTCTTGCTCTCCATAGCCTACTCTCCAGTCCATCAACAGGACATTCTTATGTCATAAGTGACATTGCGTCATTAACTAGTTTATGGTGGCTTCTTTCAGATTGAAGACAAAAGCTCACACCGTTGACACCTGAATGACATGCTTCCTGACTTTCCTTTCTCCCCATCACTTCCCATGCCTGGGCCATGCTGAGCCCCTTTGTGTCCCTGCATTCAAACCTTTCTGGTCACCCTAGGGTTTGAGCATTGCGCTCCTCAATCTGTAATGTTCTTCCATCCACGGCTCTTACTGCCCTTACTTGTGCTGGTGCTCCAGGAAAGTTTCCATACTCAGGACCTGCCTTTCTCTCTTCCCCTCTGCATCTTCATTATGTTAGCATTCCCCATTGCACTCTGTTTCTCAGGTTCCTGTTCCGCTCAGTCATATACTCAGGTCTCCCACCCATTATCACCATCATCCATCCTCATACTTGTATTTTAATCGTCTCAACACTCTTCCTCTTCCATCCTGTCCCTTATGTCTTTATGACTGTGGGAATTTTGCCTTTTTTGATCACAGCTATTTCCTGTTGTCCAGAACAGCACTTGATACACAATGGTCACTCAATAAGGTTTTGCTAAATGGATAAACAGTCCTTCTGGTTATAGTCACAGATGCCATCATTAAACAACTGCCTATCTCACTTGACTATAAGATCTGTAAGGGTGGGACCAGGGATTTCTTGCTCCGAGGATATCATCAGGGTCCAGCATTGTGCCTTCTGTCTAATTAGTGCTTGGTGAAGTGGATGGAGTAAAGAAATGAATGGGTGGGTAAGTAAGTGAGTGAGGGTTAGGCAAGGCAAGCATATGGGGGCAGGGTGGGACCTCCACAGCCTCCCTCTGACCCTAGCCCCAGAACCACCCTACCTTGTTCTGCTCTTCGTAATCATCAGTGAAGCAACTCTTCAGTCTCAGAGAGAGTTCCTGGAGCCGCTCGGTGGCGTTGGCATTGGGGGTGTTGTCTTTAAAGCGCATTTTGTCATCAATTATGTCTTTCACCAGGAAAAATGCCTTCTTAAGGAAGCAAACTGGATCATCCTGGAAACAGGAAACAGGGCTTAGGGCCTGACCAAGGTGGCCTGGGAACCCAGGCTTTATGCGAGAGGACTGCCACCCAAGGCAGACAGAGGACTGCAGCCTGCCATTCTGTGCCTGTGAGGAGGGGACACACTGCCCTCACGGTGAGGACAGTGATACCCTTGGCTTGCCTTTTATTCTCTTTCTTTAAATCAACCACAACTAAGACCTGAGCTAGAGTGAAGGAAGGTGGACTCTGATTAGAGAGAGCTTTGGTCAGGGTGGATACACATGGGAAGGGTGAGTTTCAGCCTCTCTTCCTTTTTCATCTTTCAGCTTATTCATCCTTTCAGCTTATTTTCACAAAAGTCCTTTGCCATATAGCCCCTTCAAGCCCTCTAGAATATAGAGGTACCGAGGACTACTTTTTTTGTTCCCCTCCAAGGATACAGTAGTTGGTTTAAAGACAGAAGCTACTTTTATCTCGGTCTCTTTAGTGCCTGATCCAGTAAATAGGTGTCATGGTTCAAGAGAAGGAGTAAGAGAATGAATGAATGAAACCCTGTGGCTATGCAGGCCAGGGCATTTCCACAGAGGTGTATGGGTCTAGTGCATGAGAGTTCAGGGATGGAAGCAAATTCTGGACAGACTGGTTGTTCTTCTTGAGGCACACAGATCTCCAGAAAGGTGTGGCACAGGGGACAGTGGGGGACATGGAAAGGTACCACAGACATCACAAAGAACTGACGCAAAAGCTGGGAAGCAGAAGGAAACAGGAAATGAGAATATGGTGGGGTAGATGCTGGAGACTGGGAACTAGCCTGGCTGTACTTTCTCTTGGAGCCATGGGGGTCCTGGCAGGTAAGAAGAAAGAAGTGAAGGCTTTGGGGTTTCAGAAAGCTCCCCCTAGTGGTAGGATGAAAAGTGCCCTAGAATCGGGGAAGTCCTTTAGGAAGCCCCTGAAGGATGGATGGGGAGGATGGAGGGAGGGTGCCCTAAGGTGCAGGGAGACAGTTTTAGCTGCACTAGGCGCAATAGAAAGCCAGCCTATACTGCCTTCCTGGCTAGTGGATGGAGGAGATGTGATCTTTTAAAAGAGAAAAAACATGGTATAACATTTCTGGGTTCAAATTAGACCTCTATCACTTGACTGGCTATGCTTTTAATCTCTCTGTAGGTGATAAGAAATATTTGTGGACCTTAGAGTGGTACTGTTAGGATTAACCGAAGAATGTGCCTAACATTTAGCAAGTAGCCGATATATGCCAGGTCAAAGGAAGGAAGCAACAAAGGACTTAAACTCTGGACCCTGCCCACTGCTACTTGACACTTGAGCACCCAGAGCCCCTCATATTCTCATCCTTTCCTGCTCCAGCCTTCATGCAGTGAGTACTCACTAAAAGCCTGGCTCTTGAAAACACTTGCTACTTACCAGCTGTTTCTGGTCTACAAATTCAAAGGCAATCTGGCATGAGGTTTCCATTTGACTGTCGATCTGTGAAACAGAACAGATCAATGATCGCATGCTACCTATAGGCCAACTCAACTCCAGAATGGAACCCTGGTTTGGGGGTGAGTGAGATTTTAATGTTATCTATCTCCCTAAAACAATGGTGGGATGATAGAGCTACAGCTGGGGGGGGGGGAGTCTGTACCTTCCAAATGCCCAGAGGGACTAAAGCCTAACTAATAAACAAACGAGAAAAAACCACTTCTACTTTGATCAATGAAATCGCACACCCAGTCTGTTATAAAGAAAAATTATCTTTAGGGAAATATAGGATTTAATCTTTTTGGGGAGATGGTTAGCACCCTGTCATAAAAAAGAAATCGAGCAGAGGCTAGCCAAGCTCTGGGGAGTCTGGGTCTCTAGCCCCAGCCTCTCCTTGGAGCAAGTTCTAAACCTTAGGGAGCACTGTAGCACCCATGTACCTTGGCCTGCCATAGAAGCTATGGGAGCACTGTAGCACCCATGTACCTTGGCCTGCCATAGAAGCTATGGGAGCACTGTAGCACCCATGTACCTTGGCCTGCCATAGAAGCTATGGGAGCACTGTAGCACCCATGTACCTTGGCCTGCCATAGAAGCTAGGTATAAAAAAGAGTGGTGTTGAGGAAGAAGGTTGGGAGGTTCAGCTCCAGGGCCCAAGTTCAGAGCTGGCCTTACCCATTGGTGTCCCACCCTGTTGATAAATTCTTTACTGAGAGAGGCAGAAACCATGACAACTGGACCCTGACTAGGTGGATGGCATTTAGAATTGCTGATGATTCTGTTGGCCCTATTAGAATTAGATCTGGGTTCCTTCATGGCCCAGATGAGCAGGGCACCCCAACCTCAGGGACAAGGGTCAGGGATGTGAAGGTAGAAGGCTAACAGTTAGGCGGGAGCCTCCCATTAAATTTGGGTGGGGCCCTGGTACCAGGCTGTCAGGGGATCTGGCTGTCCAGAAGCTGGATAAACTTTCTGGACCCAGCAGGCATACCGGGCTGATTTCCCAAAGGAGGCATTCTCTGGGTTAGAGCAGGATCAAGGAGCCTTTTAGTGGACATTACTGGGCTACCAGTAATTCAGGCAACCAATTCCCACTGTGTGATAAGGGACCCGGACAAGGCTTCAGGGTTGGAGGGAAACCTAAGGTCCCCACCTTGAGAAGATCAGGAGAGTCATGATCCAGATAGCTCTATTTCCTACAAAGCCTCTCTTTGACCCTGCCTTCCGGCTGCTACCCCAACTCCCTCAGTGAGGAGAAGGGAAGGTCTCATACTCACCAGCTGCTGCAGGACCTGCAGGTGTCCATTCCCAATCATGTGGCTACAGTGTTCCGACACCTCCTTTGCAATGCTTCTGCTCACCAGGAGACAGACCAGCAGCAGCTGGGGGCCCAGCCATGGCTATGACAGAAGAGAGTCATGTCTCTCCAGTGCTTCCTCTTCCCAACTACCCCCTTGTCCCACTAAAGACACAAAACTAAGCCCCCGTTCCCACAATGCCTTACAACTCAAGATGCAGCACTCTCCAAATTAGATTTCTCATCAGGCAGGGTATCACCTTGCTCTTCCCTGGATAATAAACCAAATGTTCTCTTCTCCAAGAAGTCTTCCCAGGTTAACCCAGAACAAACCAATAACACAGAACTTTGGGGGGTGGGTTGGAACCGGGTTTCTCTGTGTAGCGTTGGCTGTCCTGGAACTCGCTCTGTAGACCAGGCTGGCCTCATTCACAGAGATCCACCTGCCTCTGCCTCTGCCTCTGCCTCTGCCTCTGCCTCTGCCTCTGCCTCTGCCTCTGCCTCTGCCTCTGCCTCTGCCTCTGCCTCTGCCTCTGCCTCTGCCTCTGCCTCTGCCTCTGCCTCTGTGGGGATTAAAAGTGTATGCCACCACTGTCCAGCTCATGGAACTTTAAAAAAATACTTTTAAAAGGATTATTTAGTTTTGCTTTGCCTGCATGCACATGTGCCTACCATATGCGTGCCTGTTGGAATCCCCCTGGAACTGGAGGAACGGATGGTTGTGAGCCACAATGTGGGTGCTGGGAATTGAACCTGGGTCCACTGTAGAACAACAAATATTCTTAAATGCTGAGCCATCTCTCTAGCCTATAGAGAACTTCTAATGATAACACTAGTGGTGTGTCAATCTGTGTAGGTTATGGTGACTGAGAAAGTCCTCGGGGAAGACTTTTCTGTCCTTTCAACTTTAATGCTGAGACAAATTCCCTGTAAGCTGGCTTCCAGTTTGTGATCAGACACTAGCTTTCAGACTGCCAGAAACATTGACCCTGGGTCCTGCCTCCCTCCCGACTTGGTTCCATAGGCCTGGAAACACTGGTATCAAACTCTGTTTCACTGAGAACTCAACCCAAGTAGAAGACCTCCTGGAGACTTGGACCTGCATTCCGACTAATTAAGATAATGTTGTGTTTCACTGCTGATATTTGCCTATCTGAGACCTATCAGGCAAACTCTTGCCACAGCAAGGAAGTTCTCTCCTTTTTGTCAACACCCACCTGGCCCAGCAGCTGCTCATCCCTAGAGTAACGGGTCTGGCTCCTGACACTTGATCTGGTTCTTCCTTTCTCCCTTCCTCCTTCCCAAGATCCTTTCATCCCTATGGCTCCAGTAGGGCATCTCAGGGGATGCCAGCCTGAGGCAGGGGGACTCTTGGGCTTCCTTCCCCTGGTCTGAATCTGCCTCCTAGGAGCTCCTGAGCATCCTGGCAGCTTATGTCCCCCAATTCAGGGAAATGCTGGCAGGGTGGAGTGATGGCTGGCACCTTCCTAGATCTGGGCTCTGCCCCAATAGTCCAGATGATGAGACAAATCCTGAAAATAGGAGCACATTGAAAAAGCACAGGGAGGCTATGAAACAGTCCACAACAACACTGGTTTACATCTAAAAGCCCAAAGCCTTGCCAGTGTGTACCAGGGAGGAAAGGCAGCACTGGCTGGCCGATGATGAGAAAAGAGGGACTCCAGTGGCCTTAACGGGTAGCAGACAGAGATGAGGGTTGAGAGAAGAGGCACAGGTTTGACCAATGCCATTAAGCACAGGGTTTGGTAAGGATCCTGGCCTGACCTCAGAGGGACAGTGTGGAAGAAGGTGCAGAGAGCCAAGGGATGATACTGTGTTGGGCACTGTTGGGCAATTGGAAAGTTAGCCCTGAAAGCAGTATCCCAGGTCTTCAGAGCCTCACACTTAGGACCTGGTAAAGGAAACTATTGTGCAGAAGATAACTGGCCTCAGCTGGTTGTCACTCAGGCTGGCAGCTCATGGTGAATATGGTATGGAGAAAAGGTCCTGGGCATGGAGGTGTTCAGGAAGACCTCAATCCTGGCCCCACAAGGCATTGATGTTTGAGGATAACAAGGTGAAGACATTACTTCAGGGATACCTGGCTTTTGGTGGCACTTCAGTCACACACAGGAATAATGGAAAGCTACCAGATGAGAGACTAACTTCAAAGATGTCCAGAGGGGGCCACTTCTAGATCTGTAATCCTAGTGCTACCATAGACAAGGACACAGATGGACACCCGAGGGTTAATACTCTAGCTTATATCTGGCTGGACAGGCTCTTCCTGGCTTGTTTCTGCCCCCCACCCACTGCCTCAGCCTCAGACGATGAGAGCAGCCCTGGAAGGACACTGCTGCAATGTCAGAATGCTTCAAGACATCACGTTCCATTTCCCAATCAGTAAGGTCTCTCTGCAGAGACCCAGCATGCTTGGACCCTCTGACTGATCTTGTCTAATTCTGGCCATCATTTTCTTTTCTCGTTATTATCCCCTTTTGTACTTGTTTGTGTTATAACCGTTTCTTCCCCTCCTAACCCCATCTCCTGCCTCTCAGCTGGGCCCTCCCTCCCAGTGGATCTACTTTTATCTCTCAAACACCTGCAGCCCTCTCCTGCCCATCTGCTCTTGCCCTCGAGGCTTTCCCTGTCATTCTCAGAAGCAAACCCACTTGCTGTTCATTGGAAGTGTCACCCTGCACACTCTCTAGGAGCCACAGCAGCTTTGCAACTGTGAACTCTTATGCCACTCTTCCTCAATCAGTAGTAGCTGAACCCAGAATAGCCCCCATCCCGTTGAAACAAATTCTTCTGGGTTAGCTTCAGGCCATCCCTGGGGTCCCATTCCCCTCAAACAACCATCCAAGTCCCTAACAGCTCCTGCCCATAGGCAGTAGCAAGTAGCAGCATGACTATCTTCTTTCTTCTGACAACAGGTTGCTCAGCACAGGTCCCGGCTGAATGCCGAGTGGCCCTAGATTGTCCTTTCCCAGAAGGCTCACTCCCAATTAGGGCCTAGAAATATGTGCAACAGCCAAAGGAAAGTGCCTACTAGGGTGATGCCACACTCTGGTCTGTCACTCAGTACCTGGTTGATCATCCTGGCAGACACTGGGCCTTTGCCAATTGCTGTGAACCTCTCCTGCCTGTGGGTGGCTCAATTTTCTTCTCCGTTCAATGGGGGTGAGCAGCCTCCTCTTCACCCCGCAAAGCCCTGTAGCCCCAGGAGCTGCTGCTGAACTACAGCGGGCCTCAGCCCTAGCGCAGAAGCAGTTAGGAAGTCTGAGCCCAGGGCCGAGATGCCTGAGCTGAAGGGGCTGTCGGCACGAGGGGCCGCGCCAAGCCGCCTGCTGCTGCTGCAGAACTCCCGCCCCAGCCCGGCCCGGGCCCCGCGCCGCGCCGCGGTCGCAGCTTACCGATGAAGGGCAGCGCCCCGCGGCGCCCCGCGCGGTCATACGGGCAGCTGGGTCCCGGCCCGGCGTGTTGGCCGCTCTAGTTCGCTCGCTCCTTCGCTCGCTGCTGGTTGGAGAGCTTGCGCCCCGGCCGAGGGCCACGCCGCTGTCCCGGGATGCAGAAAGCCGCAGCGACACGGAGAGCACCGAGGCAAACTTTCACTTTCCTCTGGCTGAGCTTCGCTGGCCAGCCCTCAGCACAGCCTTTTAAGCGGGCGGGCCGGCGGGGCATGTGGTTTATGGGAAATCACCCTGGCCCTCCTCCAGACGCGCGCACACACACACACACACACACACACACACACACACACACTCACACACAAACACACACGCTCACACTCACAGGCACTGACACATACACCCCGGAGGCCCACTGAGCCGCCGCCTCCCTTCCCCCAAGCGGGCTGCCTGGTCGTCCCCGCTAGCTAGCTAGCTCTCTCTCTTCCCGGTCGCCTGATGGCTGTGCTAGCTCTGCAGCCTTCAGCAAAGTAACCAGGGCTCCACCGCCCTCCCCCTCCCTTCTCGAGCCCTGGACAAGACACAGCCTTTCCTCCCGTGCTCTCCACTCTTGTCGATCTCGTGTGTTTGCCTTCTTTCTAATGCTGCACCCTAGGGACTTTCCCCCCAAGCCCGAAAATCTTCAGATCTGAACAGGAAATGGACAGGATGCATTGAAAAGGACCTGAATGGGGATGGACCAACCATGGAAGTCTGGGGCCTCTCTGCTGCAGCTCCATTCAGCACCCTTATGGAGCCCAAGACAGCACGTTTGCAGGCTGGCTTGCTCCTTCCAATGCATCCTCCAAGGAATCTGCAAAACTTCCTATCCTCTGCTTGTGGGGATTAGTGGGAAGCAGGGTACAGCCTGACAATCCAGCTACCTGGCCAGGAGAGGAGGGGCCTATTCCTGTGACAGCTGGCTGAGTGGTTCTATAATCTGTGCCAGGAGACACTTCAGGTGCTTAACCCATGAATGATGCAAAGGCTGGCTGGTCCTCTGTTCCTGGGCTGCCAAACACAACTTAAGTGGAAAGACCAGTGCACCTGGGCCCTAGATTTTCCTAGAAGCTTTTGGAAGTGCATTATGGAGACAATCACATTTTGTCTGTACATGAGAATGAATCTAAATGAATGAAGAGGAGCCCATTAATTATACTGCCAACATTAGGATCTTTTTCCTTCTTCTAGTCATTTAGACTCAATGTGTTTCATCCTCTCTCCCTGTCTACCCCTATCTCTGATGAGTGGTCTGGTCTCGTAGAGGCATCTTTTGTCACTTGGCCTATATATCCCTCTCATATGCCTTTGTTCAGGCTGCATCCTCTTACATGAACGTTTCTTGCCCCATCAACCTTAAGGGGGCTGCTTCATCTTTTAAGGTTATATATTCATATCTCATCCTCCTCCAGCAAAGACTTCTGGGATGCCCCAGGCCAATGGATAGTTCTTTTTTCCTGTGTTCCCATTGGACTCAACCCATTCCTTCCTCATAAGTTGGCATTCATTCATTCTCTACATAACTTTAAACCAATGGTTCTCAACCTGTGGGTCTCTATACCCTTGAGAATCACATATCAGTTATTTTGCAAGTCGGATATTTACATTACAATTAATAACAGTAGCAAAATTACATTATGAAGTAGCAATGGAAAAATGTTATGGCTTGGGGTCACCACAGTATGAGGAACTGTATTAAAGAGTATTGAGAACTGTATGAGGAAGGTTGAGAACCGCTGTAGCATTTCAGGTGATACTGCCCCCTGAGACTGAGACTTCCTCTAGGTGGCACCCCATTTCACTTACCTCTGAATTGACAGCCATAGCACATAATAGGAATTCAGTTAACTGGGCAGGTGGAATGAAGAAATAAGTCATTTGACAAATGTTCACTGCAGGCCAGGCCACATGCTGGACCCTGGAGGTATTACAGTGAATATGATGATATGGCCCCTGCTCATTCTCATGGGTTTGGGAGGCAATGGAAGCCAAGGGATTAGGGTAGTGGCTGGTACCCAGGACCTCCTGGAGGGATGCAGAGACAACATCTGGCCTTAGGAGACATGGTCAAGGCTTGGGGGAATGTTCTTTTAAGTGGTTTGGAACAATAAAGATTTAACCACAGTTCTTTTTTTTTATGCATATAGAGTATTTTTTATTTAATTTTATATAACAAAGTCCAATTAAATGAAAACAAACATTTATACACAATATTTGGGAATTTGGGCGTCGTTCTTTCCAAACTACTTCCTGCTGGTAAGGGGCGCTGTCTTGGGGGATTCGAAGAAGATTCAGATATCCTAGCTGTAGTCTGTAGGGCTGTTTTGTCCAGCTGTTTGGAATGTAGGATCAGCTTGTACTCTGTTTCAGGCGGTCTGGTGTGATCAAACCACATTAGTCTGGAAGGAATCCACATCTTTTCATTTTCTGTGGAAACAAAAATAGAAATACTTTTCCCCAGTAACTTGTTCTTCAACTTAAATTTTGGAGTCAAAGCGTTTTTTTTTTTTTATTATTATTTTACATGTCGATCCCAGTTCCCTCTCCCTCCCTCCCTCCCTCCCCCCCAAGCCCTCCCTCCCTCCTTCCCTCCCTTTTGTCCTCTCTACCCTCTCCCATGCACTCTAAACACCCTCCCCTCCCAACCCCCCACCACAATACAATATGTAGGGGAATGCCATCCAGTTGGGGTCATGTAGATCTGACAGGTCCTGTGAAGTAGGGACTAGGGCTTCTCTCCTGTCTCTAGAATAAGGTAGTTATCCCTCCATGGGGGATATGTTTGCAAAGTCCTTTTGTGCACCAGGGATACATCCTGGCTCCACTGTCTGAGGTCTCTTAGACTGCTCAGACCTTCTGGCTGAGACCCATATTCAGGGGGGTCCGAGTCAGACCCCTGTTGGCTTCCCAGCTATCAGTCTAGTGGCCCTTAGCTCCTCCTTGTTCAGGTAAGCTGTCTCTATGTACTTCTACCGCATGGTCTTGTCCTCTCCATCTGCTTCTGGGTTCTAGTTTGACTCAGTGTTTATGTATGGGTGTTTGCTCCTGTTTTCAACAGGCATTAGTTGAGGACTCCATGGAGAAGTTAGTTTTTGATCTCACTCTCCGGGAAGGGCATTTATGATAGCCTTTCCACGGAAGCTGAGATTGTTAGTTGGGAGCAGTCTTGTAGTTCCCTCGACCTTTCTTTGTGTTCAACTTTATCTTCAAACCAATATTGGCTCCCTCTTTTATGTTCTCTCTCTCTGTCTCTGTCTCTCTCTCTCTTTCCTATTTTCCATTCCTAACCAGGCTCAATCCTCCTGGTCGCACATGCCTTCCTCTCCTCCCTCTCATTTTCTCCTACTTCTCTCTCCATTAGCTGTCCTCCCCCACTATACCTGAGGTCTGGGGGACTTGTCCCTTCCCAGTTCTGTGAGGGACTTTATATGAATCTCTTAGAATACAACTTGTATCCTAGTTCCTCTGGTGATGTTAACCACAGTTCTTAAGACTGACAAGAAGGTAGAGGAAGTTGTGTAAGATGGTAAGCCTACAGAGTTGTTGAGAAGAGGGTCAAATTTATGAGCTAGGTTCTGCCCCAGGCTCATGGAGCTTGGAGTTAGAGCTAAGCTGATACTGGAAGAGTGCATGAATCTTCTGTATCAGCACAAAGACAAGCGCAGTCATCCATCACATTAGTACAAGGGTTGGAATCCCCCTCTCCTACTGAAACTCTTCATGTATTAGGGTTTGAACCTGACCCCACATTGACAAGCTGTTTGCCCTCGACAGCTCTGCCCAGTCCTTGGTTGGGTGGCTATGGATACACATCTTTTGGCTTCATTGCCTATCAAATGGAGCCATCAATTTCCCTTTCATCAAGTTGTTAGGCAACTGAAAGAGATAGTGCCGTGTGTGTGTGTGTGTGTGTGTGTGTGTGTGTGTGTGCACACGCACACGCGCACATGTGCACGCACATGCCATAGCATTTGTGTAAGAGTCACAGAACAGCTAGTGGAAGTTAGGTCTCTCCACCATTCTGGAGATTGAATTAAGGTCATCAGGCTTGGCAGCAGACATTTTTAACCACCAGCCATCTCACAAGCTCCCACTTTACTATTATTATTATTTTTAGTCTGTTTATTCTGTTGAAATGACACAATTGGAAATCTCAATGTCAGAGTTTTCTCCTATCTCTAACACTCACTTGCTATGTAAATTCGGGCAAATCACATCTCCTTTCTGTTCTTCTTTGCTCATTTGTCCAAAGGCAATGATAAGACCTCTTTCATGTAGAGCTGTAGAGGAATGAACAAGACCATCCATAACTGTACTTCCAAAGTAGGACTTGTAGCTACCTTCTTTGTGTTGCTTTAAGATAAGACACTGTGCTTCTGGTGGCCAGACAAGCTTTATTCCATGCACAAGGAAGTCAAGTGTGGGAGAGCAAATGATGTGTTTGATGTGGCTGCTCCAAGGGGTCTCCTCTGACCATCCAGAGGGACTGATTCTAATACCTCCTTCACTGCATGGCTGCCTAGACTGATCAGGTTTCAGGGTCAAACCCTTAGGAATGTGTCCGTGGACCCAGACAGGCCTGTATACACCCATCCATGCAAAGGGAGTGATGGAAACGCAGAATTGAAACCTTTTTTTTTTTTTTTTTGTTTAATCCCTATGCTGTTTTAGATGAAAAAATGGAGACCCAGACAAGCTATGCTACCTCTTCCAGAATCACACAAGAATTACCATAGTCTGGGATGGGGATGTTGGAGGTGACGTCTGGAATGAGGACTCTGAGCTCCATGTGGTTGATCAAATCCTCTGCAGTCTTCCCTACTGATACAGTCATGTCCAGAGCAGGGTCCTGGGGGATGAGGAGAGGAATTTGGCACTATCTGAGATTTGGGGTTCTGCGATTTCCAAAATGCAGCATCATCACCACAGAGGCACCACTCTGGGGGGAGGGCATAGGGAGTTTGGGAGAGACCTTCCTTGCTAGAGAAATGAGCTAAGGGAAGGGAGGGTTATTGAAAAGTGAAATGGAGATGGATGGCAGGAAATGGGAGGAAGCCTCCTTTGTAGATTGTACTAAACTATTTGTCAAGCAGTTTCCTCTGAAAAGCTTTCTAGTGAATTGACTTCTATCACACAGGGTTCCCTCCCCATCTCTGCACCTCTCTTCTTTTTTCCCTCCTTTCTTGTCTCTCTCCCTCCTCTTTTCTACAAAATGGGTTCATGGAAGTGGACCAGAGTAGGTATTAAGACCTGGGGCTGTACAATGTTTTTCTGTGTCTCAGTGTTCATGGCAAAGTACTATATGAAAGTCAGGGTGTGTTAGACACCTCCCCAAATCAGGTTAGCCAGGTTAGGAAAGTGAAGATTTCTGCATAGACTGTGGTGCTGCCAGCTGCCCTTTAAATGGCACCTCCCATTTTCATAGGAGAGGTTAAC